GCCTTTGCTGTGGAATTTCTTTTGGGCAGAGACCATAATTTTTTTCATGTTTGATGATTGAATGGCTAATTTGAAGATGTATTAAAGAGGACCTGCATCCAAAAAATGTACAGCCTCATTAAGAGAACAATATTTATACGAAGTTAGCTAGGTAAGATATGGAGAAGGAAATGGCAACCCACTCCAGTATTCTTGCCTGGCGAATCCCATGGACAGAGGAGCCTGCCAGGCTAGAGTCCATGGGGTCGCAAGAGTCGGACGTGACTTAGTAGCTAAACAACCAGGTAAGATATACACAAAACATAGAGATGAAAGATTGCTTTCAGCCAAGTAGGTCAGCAAGCCTTCTTTTTTTTAAAAGAATAATCTGTATTTATTTTTGGCTGCGCTGGGTCTTCGTTGCTTTGTGTGGGCTTTCTCTAGTTGCAGTGAACAGGGGCAGCGCTTTGTTGTGGTGCGTGGCCTTCTCGTTGCAGTGGCTTTTCTTGTTGCAGAGCACAGGGTCTAGGCGTGCAGGCTTCAGGAGTTGTGGCTTGAGGGCCCAGTGGTTGTGGCACATGGACTTTGTTGCTCCATGGCATGTGGAATCTTTCCGGACCGGGAATTGAACCCTTGTCTTTTGCATTGACAGACAGATTCTTACCCACTGTGCCACCAGAGAAGTCTGAGGAAGGCCTTTATAAAGAACGGTGCTTTTTTTTTTTTTTTAAGTTCAGGGATAGGAGGACATTTTTGGTAGAGAGAATAGCAAGCAGATAAATCTGAAGTAATAGCCAAAGAAGAAAAGGTAGGCAGGTTGGCGGTACGTTTAGGGAATGAAGGGGTTTGGCGCATAGCACACAAAGGGAAAGTAATGGAACACTAGGCTGATAAGGAGATCCGGACTAGATTCTAGTTTCCAGGTGTATTTCTCCAGCATCCTGAGCTTTAGTCACCATGTGGAACCCATAATCTTTTAAGAGCACCCTGTGTGTGAAGGTCCCTCTTCACCTTTGCTCATACTTTTTCAAAGCACAGTCTGCAGTTTCCTTTGCTGTCTGACCCTTTTACAGTCTTTTCTAGGCACTCCAGTGAGAATTAATTGCAGCTGCTTTGGTGGTATATATTTTTATTTCACAGTTATTTTAGTTTGCCTTCTCACTGTTTACACCTTCTCTCCAGCTAAAGGTTAGCCTTCTATACAGCAAGATCAGGTCTTCCATTTCTCATAATATCCATTCTCTCAGTCCTGTGGCCCAGTTGAATCTCTGCACATAGTTAATGCTTGGAATATTTTGGAATTAAAGGAATAATGGTATAGAAAATTGTATTTAATTTCCCTGGTAAATACTAAATTAGTGCCTAAAAGTGAAAGAAGGAAGAATTTTATTAGATTATTCTTTACAGACATATTGACATTATACAGTATATACATTGATATTATATAGTAAGTATTAGTATAGACATAGATAAATGTTAGTAAATGTTATAGTTCGTTGTCGGAGAAGGCGATGGCACCCCACTCCAGTACTCTTGTCTGGAAAATCCCATGGACGGAGGAGCCTGATAGTCTGCAGTCCATGGGGTTGCGAAGAGTCAGACACGACTGAGCGACTTCCCTTTCACTTTTCACTTTCATGCATTGGAGAAGGAAATGGCAACCCACTCCAGTGCTCTTGCCTGGAGAATCCCAGGGACGGGGTTGAACAGAGTCAGACACGACTGAAGTGACTTAGCAGCAGCATAGTACATTGTGAAAGAACGTTGCTCAGTCGTGTCCATGTCTGTGTGACCCCGTGGACTGTAGTCCAAGGAATTCTCCAGGCCAGAATACTCGAGTGGGTAGCCTTTCCCTTCTCCAGGGGATCTTCCCAACCCAGGGATCAAACCCAGGTCTCCTACATTGCTAACAATAAATGTTAATCTTTTACTAAGATGGTTGAGAATAGAATAATTGATTTTAGTGTTCACTATGACAATAGGAATGTGTTTATGTGTATTTACTCTTAGATTTTTAAATCTTCTCTCTTATTCAAACACTGAGAATGTCCCAATTATTTATTGTAGACAAACATTTCAGTTTCAGTTATTAAAAGCAGTCAGATACAGACATTGCCACATACTAATTGGGTGACTCTGGGGAAATTGCTTAAACTCTCTAAATGTCAGTTTCCCTATCTGTAAGATGAAATAAAGGTATCTTGGATTATGATTGTGAGTATTAAATGAAATAATGTAAATAAATAACAATTTACTTGGTACACAATAATTCTAAATAATTATAACAGTTTTTATTATTTTATTTACTTAGCATTTAATATGAGCTTGCTGGAGGTTATTGTATTTAGTATTATGCCTAGCTTGATCATCTTATCCTAAATTCTCTTCTTCAATTTTACTAAAATGAAGATGATATGTCTAAATATTATTGACTTTGTGTTATTAAATATATGCTTGTAAAGGTTATTTGAGATCATGATAGATACATAATGAATATGAATAGACTTATTTACACAATGAAAATAGAAAATGAAGAAATGTTCATATTAATAATTATAATTAAAGATTAGATTAAAACAAAAACAAAGTATAGGTTTTTTTACCTGCCACATTCATTTTTTAAAATATAATTGTAAACCGAAGACCGCCGGGCCGGGGCCCGGGGCCCTCTGGCCCGCGTCTCTATGGGACAGAGCAGAATGGGCTGATATAGATCCAGTGCCACAGAATGATGGCCCCAATCCAGTGGTCCAGATCATTTATAGTGAGAAATTTCAGGACGTCTATGATTATTTCCGGGCTGTCCTGCAGCGTGACGAGAGAAGTGAGCAGGCTTTTAAATTAACCAGAGATGCTATTGAGTTAAACGCAGCCAATTACACAGTATGGCATTTCCGGAGAGTTCTCTTAAAGTCCGTTCAGAAGGATCTACATGAGGAAATGAACTACATCTCAGCAATAATTGAGGAGCAGCCCAAAAACTATCAAGTCTGGCATCATAGGCGAGTGCTGGTGGAATGGCTGAGAGACCCATCACAGGAACTTGAGTTTATTGCAGATATTCTTACTCAGGATGCAAAGAATTACCATGCCTGGCAACACCGACAGTGGGTTATTCAGGAGTTTAAACTTTGGGATAATGAGCTGCAGTATGTAGACCAGCTTCTCAAAGAGGATGTGAGAAATAACTCTGTCTGGAACCAAAGATATTTTGTAATTTCTAACACTACGGGCTACAATGATCGTGCTATATTGGAGAGAGAAGTCCAGTACACTCTGGAAATGATCAAGCTAGTCCCACATAATGAAAGTGCGTGGAATTATTTGAAAGGGATTTTGCAGGATCATGGTCTTTCCAAATATCCCAATCTGTTAAATCCATTACTTGACTTACAGCCAAGTCACAGCTCTCCCTACCTAATTGCCTTTCTCGTGGATATCTATGAAGACATGCTAGAAAACCAATGTGACAACAAGGAGGACATTCTTAATAAAGCATTAGAGTTATGTGAAATCCTAGCTAAAGAAAAGGACACTATAAGAAAGGAATATTGGAGATATATTGGAAGATCCCTTCAAAGCAAACACAGCACAGAAAGTGACCCACTTACAAACATACAGCAATAATACCATCTCGACAAACTTGATGGGATGCTTTTATTTTTTTAAGAGACTCTAATGAAGGAGTTAAAAACTAGAGTGATCATTCCCTTTGCCTGTGGTGTAAAACATACAATGCACAGGTACTGCTTTTTAACATGAACTAAGTGTGATGCTCCTTGGGTGCTGCTGCTATTCAGACTAGTTCCAAGTAACTTGATTTTTTTTTAAGCAGAGAATTTGGGGGAGGGAGAGGAAACAAAGTCCGTAAAGGAACTTTTGTAGTCTTATCAACATTACTCTAACCCCTTAGCATCAACTTCTCCCTAAATGGTTTGTGTGTCAGGATTTGCGGCGTTAATGTTTGCAGGTATGTAAAGGATATGAGGAACTTACCTTCTGGTTCAGAAAGCAGGGGATGCAGTTGTTAGGTCAGAGCTGCTCTGCCACACTCACAGCATTGTGCTCTCACTGTAACCAACTAATGCCAAAAGAATGGTTTTGTAATAAAATTACAGATGTATCCCCCCCCAAAAAAAATATATATATATATAATTGTATAAATCAGAGTCATAGGGACACAGGTATACTAATGTTATTTTGGCAATATAAATAGATATAGTTCATTTGGAGGACAATTTGGAAATGCTTATTTAGGAGCCATATTGATATTTATATTGTTCGACATAGCAGTTCTACTCCTGGAAATATATCCAAAGAAATGAATCTGTGAGACAGAAAGTGTGCTTAAAATGTTTGTGGTAGTACTATCCATAAAAGTAAAAAGAAAACAGGAAACAGCCTAAAGAATAAGATAAATGATAAAAGAATTGTTATGCAGTTAAAAATGTATACTGTAGCAATATAGGAGAATGCATAAGTAATAATGTTGGGTGAAAAATGTAGAACAAATTGTGAATTTATCATTGCTATAACTGTGAAAATGTGTGTGAAGAATAATTTTCCAGGGGAATGTAAATGAACTGTTAACTGAGTTGAATTGTATGTGATTCTTTTTCCCTTTTAAAAATTTGCACAGAGTTAATTCTTGAAATATTTGTGAAATTAAATGAATGATGGTATAGAAATTCTGTTTCTTTTTTTGTGCCCAAAACTACTAACAGAATGAATAGGTTAGTTTGATTATTCTTTGTAGACATATTGTAAGGTTGTTTCAGTGTTGACTTTTAAAAAGTTACACTTATAAGTAGAAGGAAATCTTCATATCTTTGTACCTGAGGATAATCTTCATATCTCTGACAGCTTAGAAAAAGGTTATCATTAATATTACTGTGGCATGAAATATTAAGTATAATGTGAGACATATATATATACAAAATAAAGAGGACTTTAAAAGAAAGAGAAGCCACATCTTCAAGGATAGGACTATTTGTTTTTAATATGACTTCTCTTTATTTTAGAATTGATAGATGTCACATGCACCCTGCTACTTCTAAATCCAGACTTTACCACTGCATGGAACGTAAGGTACGTCACTCTCATCAGTGATAAAATGAAATTGTTGAAATTTCTGAAGACATATAAGACCAGGAATTGTTAGCTTTTTGAAAAGTGAAATATAAATCAGGGGTTCATGGCATCTTACACTTATTTCTTCTTTATAATATCTCCATGACAATTCTAATACACAGTTTGCTCCTTTTTGCATGTTTATGTCTATTCTCCCTCAAATTCATGAAAATATACATTTTCATGTTGAATTACAGTATACCATTTGATACATGCATTTAACTTCCTTTTTTTTAGAGGGGGTAGAGAGACTCAGTTTAATTGTTTGGATTATGAAGTGTTGGTTGGTTAGTGTATTTGAGAAGCACAGCAGTGCAATGGAATGTGTAAAGGTAAGCGTTAAAGGTCACAGACTCTTGGGTTAGTCATATTGTGCCCCCTGTGGGCAGATCATTTGACATCTCGCCACTCAGTATTTTGGAGAGGGACCACATTTTTTGAGTGTCTTAAGTTCTTTAATTCTGATTGTTGTAGCTTTAAACACAGAATGCATTATAGAAATATTAACATTCAAATTTTCAGTTAAACAGTGTGTATAGTTTTTAAAAATTGGTGGTTCTTTAGACTAACACAAGTTTTCTTACAAGAAAGCAGGATATAAATTATAGATAAATAAAAATAAAGTCCTGTTGTACATTGTGAATTCATTTAAATTTTCTTGTAGGAAAGAGCTGTAAATTATAGCTCTTTACCTTTAAAGATGACTTAAAGAATGCTTTAATTTTCCGTGAATTTTAATTCCAAGTTGGTGTTTTATAATACCTACTTGATTTTATATTTGTAGCTGGTTTTATTAAATTTAGGTAACCTCTTAATTTTTTAAAAATTTTCTTTTGACTAATTAATAATCAGATATTTAAAGAATAAGCAAGGGTGAATGTATTAGAAGGTTTTAAAAATTTACAAATTTTAGAATTCTCATTTTCTTTTATGGGAAACTCCAAGTGGTTAGGGAGTAAACTAAATGTTTATGAGTGGCTACTCTATTCCAGGGACCATACTGCAACTTTATATGTTATCTCATTTAATCCACACAATACTGGACAACATTTTTTCATCAAATATTTATTGATTAACTACTACATGCTAGGTCCTAGACCCAGATGATACATTTAATATGAGAGAATGAAGAGGGTCAGTCTTGACTCTGGTTTTTGGCCTGAGCAACTGAAAGGTTGAAGTTGCTATTTACTGGAATGGGGATGTTTGGGAGAAGAGCAGAGGGGTGTGTGCTGGTTGGAAGTCAAGAGTTCATTTTGGGACATGTTAGGTTTGTGTTCAAGTAGCTGTGTGTGACTGTAAATGTCAGGTGAGAGTTCTAGGCCAGATAAAATTTGAGAATCACTGGAAAATGTATCATAGTTAAAGCCTTGAGGTTGTTTGAGATACCAGTAGTGGGTATAGATATTAGAAAAGAACCAATCTGAAGACTTGAACACTGGGACACTACAGGTTTCTAGAGCAGCACAGTTCAGTATAGTAGCCTCTAGCCACGTGTAGCTATTGAGCCTTTGAGATATGACTAGTCTCCATTGAGATGTCCTGTAAGTGTAAACTACACATCAGATTTTGAAGACCAAGTAACCCCCCCAAAGTAAAAAATCTTTCTTATTAATAATTTTATATTGATCACATGTTGAAATTATAATATTTTAAATATACTGATAAAATAAAATTTTACTTTATACTTGTTTTTAATGTAGCTGTTAGAAAATTTTAAATCACATATATGGCTCACATGTATGACTCACATATTTCTGTTGGACAGCCCTGTTCTAGAGTTTGCGAGATGAGGAAGAATCAACAAAGGAGACTTTTAGGAAGGTACTAGAAACTTAAAACTGAGAGTTTTCTTAAGGGTACAGACGATGTCTTCTTTTTTTTTTTTTAGTTTCCCTAGCATCTAACACTCCAGTGCCTGGTATATAACAGATACTCAGTTTGCAGACTTGACACTGAAAATAATTAAATTCAGTGAAAAAGAATGAGTGTAATAGAGAACTGGAAGTACCATTTTTATGTTCACATATTCCTCATCATTACAGAGGAATCGAAAATCCTCCCACAAGAAATAATTTTTATTAACATAATATATATACACAAACACATAATTCATTGTATATTCATAGGGCAGTTCAGTGGTGAAGAACCTAGTTCTTAGATATATGGATCTTAGTCCTAGTTCATCAGTTAACTAGCAGTTGACTTTTGACAAGACTTTTAACTTCTCAGGAGTTTTAGTTTTCATATCTTTGAAATAAAAGATCTGAATAAGGTGTGGTTTTTTTTTTTATACGATTCTTTTGGTCTATGTTTTGATTGTGTGTGGTTTAGTTTTATGAAGGGAAGTTGCTCCATAAATCTATCTTTAATGATGTTAATATCTGTTAATCTTGAAGCTTTTCTAGTAAGGTGATTTAGTAACTTTTGTGCTAGATGAGTAGGAAGGAAATCTTGATTTTTTAAAAATCCATTGTAGATATGTTTTCTAGTAAATTTTAGTTTACATTAGTAAGATTGATGTACAAAGACATAGAATCATGAATACATTTTGAGCAAGAAATGAACTTTGAAAGTAAACTGATCTAAGCCTATAAGGTCTCACAAATCAAATACTCACCATTTTATGTCTGATTGTTGGTACATTTCTTCTGATGTAACTTTGGGAAGCATTGAATGATTTTTGGCTGTATTTTATAAACAGCTAAAAGATTGTATAACACATCAGTAGTTGTTGCAGTCTCAGGGAAAAAATACAGGCAAGAATAAGTTTTTGAGTTGATCTGTAATTATAGTATATGATGTATATAGTTTAAAAATCTGGCTGGTGCTAGAAAAAAATGACTAGTACTTTTTCTTTTTGCTTTGACTTTGCTTTGAAAATTGGTGAATTAATTGACAAAAGAGGTTGACTTCATAATAATGTCCTATTTTCCTTCAGTCTGTGAACATAGAGTAAGCAAACATCCTTGAGCAACCAGAAGAGCTGGTGTCCAGGCTCCAGTGATTCAGTCCTTCCTCAGCCTATTTAAATTGGTAGCTCTCTGCAGATTTGATGTTTTGTTCAGACAGTTGCAATTTGGAGACCTTGAGCAGGTTACTGAATCTCTCCCAGCTTCAGTTTCCTTATCTATAAAACTGAGGTAACTTTGGACTGCACCATGTGAAATTGTCCTTTTTGTAGGTCAGAAATGATTAAGTCCAAATGTCCAGATCCTGGTTTCTAACACCATTCTCTAATAAAAGGAACTGGGCTTCTTAGAGGACGGACTGATTCTAGGACCAGGTCAGGAGATGTACCAGATGAATCTGGAACATCTTAAGAGAGCCAGAAAGTAAGTCAGTGCTTTCGTTGTCCAAAGCTGAAACAATTTGAGCAATAAAATAATGTAATAATGGATTATTACAAAGTATAGAATCAATATCCTTAAGTCCATGCTGGTATAAATAAATGCTTGAATAAATAGAGACAATGGACAACTTTTCAGTACTGAAGAATTCCAAATAGTTTATCTAGATAACTTCCCTCAAGGAAATGGAGCATATCTCCCTACTCCTTAAAGTGTAACCTTTTCCCAAAAAGTAGAGTGGAAAAATCTAGCATCTACTACCTAAGCCAGATATTCAAGATCAACATCAACAGTGACAAGTCATGCTGATATTACATACCCCTGATATAATCTGATGAAGATAGCGCTTTACCTCTGTGGTCCCCTCAAAACCCATAACCGTAGTCTAACCCTGAAAAAAATATATAAAATACCTGATGAGTATTCTTCAAAATTGTCAAGGCCATCAAAAACAAGGTGTATCTAAGGGACCAAGAGGAGCCTACAGAGATACAACCAAATATAATGTGATATCCTAATGGGACTCTAGAATTTTTTTTAAAAAATGATATTTGGTAAAAATGAAGCAATTCTGATTAAAGCATGGACTTCCAATACTAATCTATAAGTAATGGTTCATAAGTTGTGACAGTTGTACCATAATAATATAAAATGTTAATAATAGAAACTGGGTACAAGACATACAGGAATTCTCTTTATCATTCTTAAAAACTTCTCTATAAATTTAAAGCAATTCTAAATAAAAGGTTTATTTTTTAGAAAAACTGAAGTTGGCAATTTCATATTATTCAATATAATATAGGATTTTTGTGATAATTAAAGTAGAAAATATATGTAAATCACTTAACACTGTGCCTGATTCAGGAGAAGTGTTCAGTAAGTGGTGGTTTTTATGCGGATGACTTTTATTATTATCATCATTATTATTTCACACAATAACTTAAGATTAAAGAGTGAAAAAAAGGTGGCATATGTCAGTCAATATTTACTGTATACCAAGTACTGGGTAACCAGTGGAGATTTTGCTATGGACATAATACGGCCCCTGGTTTCCTACAAATTCTGATTAGAGTGACAGCAGAGAGAACCCCTAATGGTTTGAGAAGGGAGAGAAAATATAATAACTCTATAGAAGAAGATATACTTTGCAGAAATATGCTAATAACAATTTGTAAACTTTAAGGTGTAAGTACATGGAATAACTAACTTCTTAGGATATTTAATTTTTCAATTTAATTGCACACCTTTATCATGTTAACATGAAATATTTTAATTTGTAAATTCTTCATTTTCCTATTTACATATCTCATTAGTTTAATTCAAGCTTCTCACATGGCTTATTAACATCAGTGACTGTCATCACGAGAACTATTTTTTGAGTTATCTAGCACAGTTTTCTGGGCTTCCCTGGTGGCTCAGATGGTAAAGAATCTGCCTGCAATGCAGGAGACCTGGGTTTGATCCTGGGTTGGGAAGATACCCTGGAGGAGGGCCTGGCAGCACACTCCAGTATTCTTGCCTGGAGTATCCCCACAGATAGAAGAGCCTGGGGGGCTACAGTCTACGGGGTCGCAAAGAGTTGGACACGACTGAGCGGCTAAGCACAACACAGCACAGTTTTCCAGAGCATATTGTGTTTACTTACATTTAAGTTGTTCCAGATACAACACTTTCCAAATTCACATGTGACTGGAAATTTTATCTCAAGCTATATTCCTACTTGAATACATTAAAGTACATGTTTTTTTGTTGGATCTCTAGGTTATGTGATTGCTGATAGCTATAACTTAAACCGATTACAATATTTCTTTTTCATGTGATCTTTTAAAAACTTGCTTATAATGGTCCAGCACCTACAACGTTCAGTCCTTCTCCTAGGAATATTTCTTAAATTGATGGTAAAATTTTGCTTCCTTTTTAAATGATTCTACCAGGCAGTCTTTTTAAGTATCCATCTATACCATTGATTGAGGTTGTTTTAGACTAAGATATCTTTACAAGTATAACTTTGTTGTTCAAAATAAAGAGATTAAGAGATGGCCCTTATTTAAGAAACTTTATCAAGATTCAGTTGTAGGGTAACTTCCTCTTTTCTGAAGAAAATTTTATTTCCTCTTATGTATAGCTACATATGGGCTTCCCTGGTAGCTCAGATGGTAAAGAATCTGCCTGCAATACGGGAGACCCAGGTTCGATCCCTTGGTTGGGAAGATCCCCTGGGGAAGGGAATGGCTACCCACTCCAGTATTCTTGCCTGGAGAATCCCATGGAGTCACAGGGTCGAACATGATTGAGTGACTGACGCAAATACACATAGACATCCGTGGGAATATAGGTAGGCAGCTGTAAGTAAGGAGAGGTTTAAATGTAGTAAATGGAAATCTGGCTTAATAGAGTACATTGTCTACAGTAGCCACGCCGCAGCAGCAGCACTGGTTTTTAAACTCTAGGGTGCCCTGGAGGAGTGTTTAAAACATATTGCTTTGCCCCGCTGCACTTTTTGATTCAGTGTGCTTGGGGTGAGGCTTAGGTTCCAAATGATGATGATATTGCAGTTAGGGACCCTATTTTGAGAAACATTGCGCCTACAAAATACTGAAGAGTTTAAGTTACATAGAGTAGTATTTTGCCTTTGAACAAAACATTACATATTTCAAAAGAAAAAGGATCTAGAACTATAAAAGTAACTGGCTGTTGCGACAGATATTCCTTTGATGACATAGATTTCCTGTACATTGAAAGAAAAATAGTCAATAAATCATTTTTTAAAGTAGCCATAAACCTTGGTATCACTTCAGACTGTTTTACAGAGTTAAGTTACTGACCTGAAATAAAATTGATTGTAAAATGCAAGTATTTATTATCATTATTTAGTATTTTCATTAAAAAGGAAGTTCTTTTCCTTGTCAAATATGAATCTGTTGGGAAGGAAATGCATTGTGGTATTTAGGAACCAGGTCCATCTAAGTAGGTGAGGTATATGGTCTAGGCTCTGGTTTTGTTGAGATTAACATCTCTGAAATAAATGATGAGCCCCTACCACAGGAAAGACATTTTAAGATTAATGGAAACTAGCAAATGACCTAATTTTAATATAAAATAATAGGTAAATTGAAAAATCAGAGTGTAATCAGTAATATCAGAGCTTATGATCAAAAACTTACCTGAGAAATTCAATCTAAACTTATATTAACCTGAAAAATAGGTGAAGCTCTCTTGCATGACATACTTTATAATTACATTGAAGCTTTGAACAGTTTTAAAATAACAAAAAGTTCATATTCCTTTTACTTTTGTTTATATTTCAAAAAGGAATGGTCTAGTGTATCTGGAGCCATTCAAGTATTTCTCCTGGTAATGTCTTTTGGAAACTTATCCTAAGTAGTAGTACAAGTGAAGTTATAAGCACAGAGGTTTTTGTTTCAGAATGCCCTTAGAATGGCAAAAACTTGAAAGCAACCTGAAATGTCTAATTATAGGGGGCAGGGTTGTTAAATTAATGGATAGCTACTGAACAAAAACTATGTGACCATTTAAAATGTTTATTTTAAAGATTATAAAGAACTGTGGAAATAATTCTCAAGATACAAGAGCAGAATATAAAATTACATGTTAAAATATAGATGAATATGAAAGGTAGAAGGGAAAAATTAAAAAATAAACTAAGTTTGTTATGATGGCTATTGAATGATTTTTTTTCCTTACATCTCAATCCAATGTGTTTGTTGTTGTATGTTTGGTTTTTGGTAATGAAGTAGACCATATCGAGTCCGACTTAGGAAGCTAGAATAATTCTTGATTAGTATTGGATCTGCCCTACATATACTGATGTCAGGCTTTATAAGTTTTGAAAATGATACAAGCTGGAAAACTCCTTTGCCCTCTACCAAATAGACAACTAAAGTTCCACTGCTGATTTAAGAGCTTCCGTTTCTGTTTTTTAATTTATTTCAAGATTATGAGAATACATTCTTGATTACTATGTATAACCTTTAAGAGAGTTTTATTTTTTTAATTCTTGGAAATTTGCTTCACAATGAAATTATATTAATAGTCATGCAGTTTATTTGTGTAGAAAGATAAAGTAATAGTTCTTTTTATTTTTCTTTTACAGAAAAGAGCTGATCCTCTCAGGTACTTTAAATCCAATTAAGGACTTACATCTGGGAAAACTGGCCTTAACTAAGTTTCCGAAGAGTCCAGAAACATGGATTCACAGGTGTGGTTAATTTACACCACAGAATTCTTAGGGCTTAGAACGGCTGGAGGGAAAAAAACAAAGAATATGAAGCAGGTCACATACTGATTACTGAATTCTAAAATCAAATTATATCTACATTCAAGCCTAGATGCCATCACTTTCTACTTAGGTGATATCTCGAGATTATTTAATCTCTTCAAGCTTTGGTTTTATCATTTGTAAAATGAGAATAATAATTACATCTATCTCAGAGTTAGTGGTTGAGTTTTACATGAGGTAATGCATGTAAACACAAGCACAGTGCTCGGCATATGTTAAATACTCGGTAAATTTTATGTTATTACTGTCTATCTGAAGCAGTTATGGAAATTGCACTTAGATATTCAACTAGAATGAGCAACTTGAGTTTTAATTAAATTTGGATTTAATTCAGTCAGGTATGTTCCTGGTAAAAATGGTGGTGGTGGTTGTTATGGTTATTAAAATTAACCAAATAAAGGCAACTGAGGTGAATGGGGTGTAGACTGAATTAAAGTTGCTAAGACCTTAAATGCAAAGGATATTTTTAGGTTAAAAGCTGAGGCAGATGATCAAAGTGCATATAAGAAGTCTTTTCAAAATCCTAGCTATCTGGACGCATTTTACTCTTGGATCCCATATAACATCTTTGACTAAAATGAGATGGTCTGGACTTACTGGTTGGGGTCAATGGGGACATTCTCTGAAGAAATCTGTTCTTAGTTTATTAAGCCACTTTTAACTTTTCTTAAATCCTGAGCATTTTTAGGATCTTAAAGTCAGTTTAAGGTATCTTAACTGTAACCTTGCCTTTGGCTAGCATTGCAGAGCAGCTGCTTCCGAATGATACAGTTGGTTGTACTTTCTCCCTATTAGAAACTGGGATAGCAGACTACAGAGAGGTGTTTGATTATGTGTATGGAGACTAGGAAAGGGGTGATGGTAGAGGAAGGGAGTTATTATTAACATAGATGCATCCATCGATTTATTGACTTGTCTAATATTTTATAAAGCAAGTTTTGGCTGTTAAAAATAACATTATTTGAAAATGACAAAAATGAATTTTGTTACTCAATTTCCTGTATCCTGGCTTAAAAATTTTTAATCTATAAAGAATGCTTTCTTATGAGAAAAGATTTGTAAAAACTAAAGACAGTAAGTGGCTAGAGGCACTTTTGAGTGCTTTTCATTTAAATGTATGCTAATAAAAACCTTAAATAGATAAGGGGAAAACCTCCCTGATGGTTTCACTAATTATATTGATTTTTTTCCTTCCAGATTCTATGCTATAATATAGAAATTTTGCTTCATAAAAGCTTAATACAGCTTCTTCTTTGCAAACACAAAGGATGAGGCATGCAGATATAATTAAAAGTGAACTGTGCTTCTTTTGAGTATTTACCAGCCATTAATTAATATCACCCCTTCCCATACACATAGTACCTACCACCAATCAGACCACACACACACACACATTCTTGTTGCCTTTACATTTCCTGGCCAAATGAAGTTTTGGAGTTGTCATTTCCAAATTGATGACATTTCTCTTTTTGACAGATGTTAACATTTTAGAAGCTTTTTCTATAATCTTTGTCCTTTATCCTCACCACCTGCCCCCCCCACCCGCTTATGTCCATGGTGCTAAAATTATCATTAAAAACAAAAACAACTCTCCCCCACACACACAAAAAAATCCTTGAATACTGGGCATTACTTTGCATAGAGAACTTTGGTTGTTTTCCTCTCTGGTTTATTTTCTTTACTCATTTTCTTGCCCACATGTTATTTTAACAGGCGATGGGTGCTACAACAGCTAATTCAGGAAACCTCCTTGCCTTCCTTTATGACCAAAGGAAACTTGGGAATAATTCCTGCAGAAAGGACACAGCAACTAATACGAGAAGAGATGGAGGTCTGTGGTGAAGCAGCAGGGAGATACCCAAGCAACTATAATGCCTGGTCTCATCGCATCTGGGTTTTACAGCACCTGGCTAAGCTGGACACCAAGGTAGGGTGCTATTTTGTGTCCCTAGGCACACTTCTGTCTGCCATTTAAATCATCTGGTAGTGTGTAAGGTAGTTCCTTCTCAGAGGAGCTCTTAGAGAGAGAAGTGGAGGAGCTAATGGCCCAGTAGCCCAGAGAGGATTGCAACAACTGACACCTCCAGGGAAACTGGCAATTTAAAAAAAGTTTGCGTTCCTCACCCGCACGGCTTTGGCACTCTTAGGCTGGTGTACTGGTAGAACAAAGAAGGTTTAAGCAGTAAGGAAGACTGAATATAGCTCGTTTTGCCCTGAAACAGGAAGAGATTATTAAACTTTATACAATTGAAATTGTTCTTTCTTGGTAGCCTTTTGTTACGTGAGTTAATGTGCTAGATCAGCTGGCTGCCTTTTCACAGTCTCTTCTCCTGGGGAGGGAGCAGAAGAATCTCACACAGGTGTTCCCACACTTGGCTGAGTCTGTAAATTACCTGACGATTCTTACGTCCTACCCCACGTCTACTGAATCAAAATGAAGGTAGAATTTAAAGATCAGTATTTTTCAAAGGTTCAGGGGGTTATTTCGATGCAGAACCAGGTTGGGAACTGTCACTGCCTAATCCTTTTAGTTTAGAAATGAGGAGATGGAAGTTTCCAGAGAATTTTAATGGCTTGGACTTAGCCACAGTTGTATCATTTGTTATTCATCAGAATGAGAGCCAGGTATCCTTGTACTCCTTCTTACATACTACAGCTTCTCTATTTTTTCTTCACTTCTTATGGTATCAGTGCTTTAGAATCTAGAGTACTCTTCCAAAAGCTTCCCAGGCTTAAGACAATTTAAAGGGGTCAGAATGTCTCACATGGTGCTTTCAGATTAAGGAGGACACATTCTCCATTTTTGCTTCATCCCTTCCTGTATCTCCTTTCAGGTCCCCTCTCCTCTGTATGTGTGCTAGCCAGAGACTCCTCCAGAATAAATAGGAGAGCTTTCACTTCTGAGGGATTTTAAGCCAACAATTCTGAAAGAGAAGGCATTCTTTGCAGCTTACATGGCTTTGCATTTCAGGAGGGGTGGCCACCTAATGGAATGGAAAGACAAATAACAGAGTCACATTAACCCGGGTTCAGATTCTGGCCCTGTTAGCTTTTTGTGTAAAGTAAGGCTTTAATGTTTTCATCTATAAGATAGGGGCTCTGCTGCCTGCCTCAGTGGATTATGGTGAAAATTACTTGTGTTAATGTGTATAAAGTACTGGGCACCTAGTAGAGGCTCAAAGAATTTTAGTTCCTTTCTCTGCTCCCCATAGATAGAAAACTTAGGCGAAACTTGACTGCCACCTTGCTAGGTCAACTCAGTGCAATTCGTTCATAAAAAAAGTAGTGAAACTTTATCGTTACCAGACACTGTCCTATACATTGGATATGGCATAAAGACAAAAAGCTTACTATCAACAAATTGAAAAATCTAGTTGAAACAGATACTGACAGTTACAAAGCAGGGTGACACTTGCAGAAACTGAGGGAATTTCCAGGCACAGCGGGAGCACAGAAATGTCTCCTTATCCTGACTGGGCTCGTAGACAACAGCTGCCAGAGGGAGCAATGCTACATTCTCAGGGGCCTAGAGCAGTGAATTCAAGTTATCTGGTGGGTATAGGGGATATGGAGTGCCTTAAAGTCAGTCATCTCAGCTACACAACTTGGTGTCCTGTGGGAGGTAGGGAGAGGGAAGGGGAAGGTTGTGGATAAAGGAAGGCAGAGTTCAGGTGAGCTGAGAGCTCTTTGGAAACTTTCTTGCCTTGATGTGGAACTTTTAAAGTAGCAGTCCATAAATCAGAAACACAGGGCCAAGGTGAAATTCTTGTTTCCTCAAGACCATCTGTTGTTAAAGATGACAGCACGTAAGTTATGTATGAACTCATCTGCCCTGGCCCACTGCTAGGCTTACATGTTGTCAGCCTGCCCTCCTCTGTCCTTGGGGGTCTTGGCACTTTTCCTGTCACCACTGCCACTGTCTCTCACTCTCAGTGAAGGGTGCTGAATTTACAAAATCCACTTTCTGTTCTTATAAGCTATTGGGCCCAGCTAGGAGATCATGATGATGGGAAAAGACCCTGATGCTGGGAAAGATTGAAAGCAGGAGGGGAAGGGGACAACAGAGGATGAGATGGTTGGGTGGCATCACTGTCTCAATGAACATGAGTTTGAGTAAGCTCCAGGAGATGGTGAAGGACAGGGAAGCCTGGTGTGCTGCAGTCCATGGGGTCACAGAGAGTCGGACACAACTGAGCAACTAGACAACAGGGAGATCATGTCCTACAGTGCTTTGTCTGTTAGAGGAAGTAATCACAAAAGTATTAGTTGTCTAGAGCAGCTTAAAAATACTTATAAAATGAGTGGTATTTTTTTACTTAGAAAATTGAAAATGATTTTTTGAAGTGCTCATATTTAGTTTGGTAAGGGTGTAAAGTGAAAGTGAAAGTCACTCAGTTGTGTCTCTTTGCAACTCCATGGACTATGGAATTCTCTAGGCCAGAATACTGGAGTGGGTAGCTTTTTCCTTCTCCAGTGAATCTTCCCAACCCAGGGATCAAACCCAGGTCTCCTACATTGCAGGCAGATCCTTTACCAGCTGAACCACAAAGGAAGGCAAGCATTATAGAAATTGATAAAAATCTTACCAAAGGGCAACATGATAGCATTTACCAGACTTTAAAATGTTTGTTATCTCTAATGTAGCAGTTCTGCTTCTAGGCATTCATCCTAAAGAAAAAATAGGAGATGCAGTGTGATAGTGATTAAAGGCTTCGCTCAGTGATCATACAAACACAATATGAATGCTGACTCTACCAGCAATTTGCTCTGTGGCCGTAAAAAGGGTTCTTAGCCTCTCTAACCTCAGTTTCCTCATCCGTAAATTGGGGATGATGACAATTCCTACCTCCTCGAGTGATGTAAATTAAGTGGGAGAATCCACATAAAGTGGCTGTCCCTAGTGCTCATACTAAGTGATCAGTAAATGCTGGATATTATATTAAATATGGAAGTTTGATATATAAAAATACTGTACATAATAGTGAAAAACTGGGAACAGTCTAATTTAATAACAATGCATTTCACTGCAGTTCATCACAAAGTAGAATATTTTGTTGCTACTAGAGATTATATTTTTAAGATTATTTAAAGAAAAATGTTAATTATAAGTTAAGGATATAAAACTAAATATGAAATGGGCCTAATAATTTTTTATGTTATTAGCATTGAATAATATTTAATGTGTTTTGAATAGTACCTGGCATATTATAAGTGTGCAACATATTTATACACACCAGCACAGTGCCATTATGGATATATTTTGTTATATTTTCTATAAGCATGTGTTTTCTAGTCAGGAAGAAAATAGGTTACAGAATAAAGAATGCTTACTACTGCTATGGGGTAGAATTATGAGAGGTTTTAATTTTCTATTGTTCCCTGTGATGTTTGTGTTTTTCAATGGACATATATTAAAGTTAATTTTAAAATAATCTATTTTTTCAGGGTGGGTTGGAAGGAAACAGTCACAGTTGAAAACACTAGAAGTAGTATTCCATTTATGAGACATATTCAGAACAAGCAAAGTGGATTAGTAGGTGCCAGAGACTGGGGGGACTGGGGAATTAGAGGACTCCTAATGGGAATAGGGGTTGTTTTGGAAGTGATGAAAATGTTTTGAAAGTATAATCCAGACAGAGGCAAATTAAAACTACAATGAGGCATCACCTCACTCCTTTCAGAATGGCTGTCATCAAAATATTTATCATCAAAAATAATAAATGCTGGCAAAGATGTAGTGAAAAGGGAAACCCTTGTACACTGTTGATAAGGATGTAAATTGGTACAGACAGTAATGAAAATAGTATGAATTTTCCTCAGAAAATTAAAAATAGAACTACCATATGATCTAGCAGTTCCACCCTTGGGTACATATATGAAGAAAACAGAAATACTAATTTGAAAAGATACATGTACCCCAGTGTTCATAGCAGCATTATTTACAGAAGCCAAGCTACAAAACCTTCCCAAGTGTCCATCAACAGATGAATGGACAAAGAAAATGTGATTGATATATATGTGTGTATATATTAATATATATGATGAATTATTACTCAGTGATAAAAAAGAATGAAATTCTGGCATTTGCAGCAACATGGATGGCCTTAGAGGGTATTACACGTAGTGAAATAAGCCAGGCAGAGATAAAGAAATACTGTATGTTATCACTTATATGTGGACTCTGTGAAGTAAACAAATGAATTTAACAGAAACATTCTCAGATACAGAGAACAAACTAGTGGTTACCAGTAGGGAAAGGGGAGGGATGAGGAGCAAGATGGGAGTAGGAGATGTAGGCAATAAAAGTTATTGTGTGTGAAATGAATAAGCTGCAGGGATGGACTGTGGCACAGGGAAATACAGCCATTTTATAGTAACTTTAAATGGAGTATAGTCTATAAAAATATTGAATCACTATGTTGTACCCCTGAAACTAATATAATATCATAAATCAACTATATGTCAATAAAAAAGAAAAAAAAAGTGTATGAGAATTGGATGACGGCAGTGGGACGAGGGAGCCTGGTGGGCTGCCATCTGTGGGGTCGCACAGAGTCGGACACGACTGAAGTGACTCAGCGGCAGCAGTGGCTGTAAACTCTGTGACTGTACTAAAAATCAGAATTATTTTTCAACTTCAAAAATTAATCCTAATAAAGCTTCAAGAATAGCTAAGAAATTGTTGTGAAAAAAGGAAAAATAAGGAACTCTGTATATTGCTATATGTTTATATATTTAAATGTTTATAGAAATAGAGTATAAAAGCCTAGAAACCAATTCCAGTGCACAGTATGTACAAATTTCATTGATGATAAATATGGCATTTCACATGATTGGAGAAGGGATTCTTTGCTCAATTTGTGATGCTAATAAGATTGAATTTTTAGAAAATGATGGTTAGATTTTAATCTCACATACCAACCTGAACTCTTAAGTGAAATAAAAACATGTGAAGAAAAAAGGAATTTAAAAAATCAGTTGCAGTAATATATAAGAAAAATATTTACAACAGAGACGTAATACCTTTAATATATAAAGGTATATATATATTGCAAACTCATAAGAACAGTAATGACTTTCACAAAGAATAAGTTGAGCAATTATAAAAGAGAATTAGACAAACAGGCAGTTTGTAAAAGAAACAAAGATAAGTGAATAGGAAAAATATTTAGCTTTAATCATAATTAAGGAAATGTAAATTAAACATGATTTTCCATTTACTGGGCTTCCCTGGTTGGCTCAGCCAGTAAAGAATCCGCCTGCAGTGCAAGAGACCTGGGTTCAGTCCCTGGGTTGAGAAGACCCCCTGGAGAAGGGAACAGCTCCCTACTCCAGTATTCTGGCCTGGAGAATTCCATGGACTGTATAGTCCATGGGGTCGCAAAGAGTTAGACATGACTGAGCGACTTTAACTTTGACTTCCACTTACTAAATTAGCTAAAACTAAAGTATTGATGAGGAATTTAGGAAACAAACATTAAGATCTTCTTCCAATAGGGGCATAAATTATACAGCCTTCCGGGAGGGCAGTTTGAAATATACATCAAGAACTTTACAGAATTTTTCTCACTGTTTCAATTAGTATACTTCTAGAAATTTCTCTTAAATAAAAATAAGACATGTACATAGATTTATATGTGTGTATACATAGGCGTGTTACTTAACGCAAAGTGGAAACAATGACAGAATGGTTTAAATTGTGATAATCTTTAGGATGAAGTATTATGCAAAAGTTTAAAATTATGTTGTAGAGTAATACTTAATGAAATTGGAATAAATTTATACTTTAAATGAAATAAAATTTCGATATAAAAGCTATCCAAAATTTGTGTTAAGTAAATGAAACAGATGCATTATTGCAGAAAGCTGAGAGATTGGTTGTATGGTAGAATATTAAAAGTAGTCATTGTTGGTCAGTAGAATAATGAGTGATGTGGGGATTTTTTTGCTTCTTTATATTCTGTATTTTTACATTTTTCTATAATAATCATCTTGTATAATCAGAAGAAAAACCAAATGTTTTTTAAAAAATTCATGAAACTCATGGTGTATGTGTATATAAGAACTCGCATTTCTAGTAGTCTTTCATTTTAAACCTGTTATCTTCCGTTTCATAGCCCTGCTTCCATAGTTTCCTTATAACTTGTTTATTCACTTACTCATTTTTATGTGGAATGTTGGAAAAGAATAATTATACAAAGGTCTTTTGTTCTGTCAGTGCCTTCCAGTTAAGCTGTATCTTTGTGCAGTATCTTTAAGATCACTTAAAAATAATTGCTGTCTTTTTAAAAAAAGAAATCACTGCCTTTTATTCTACTAAGAAAACACCCTGAAATTCCTGTTAAAAGATTTCTTCTTTAGTTAGTAGGCATTTTATATCTTAGGGAAAAGAATATAGTGAATTTTTCTCTTAAATAGTCTCAGAAAAGAGTTATTAGGAATTGAATTAGTTTTGTTGAAAACCTTTTAAATATATGCTATTTTTGCCTCAAAGTTACAATAAATTTTTAATTTTTACATGTAGAAAATATATAATAGAAATAATTAAATGTTTTTCACATTATATAAATTCATTTTAAACAAGTTTTATATTCTTTTCAATGCATAGTAAGAAGCTGTACCATAATTAAAACGCTGCTGTATAATAGTCTGAATTTCCTGCAGGTTAATTCTTCAAAAATATAATTCTTAAAAAAAAAGAGAAAACCTTAAGATTAGTTTTTGTCTTGCAGGTAGAAGTTTATCTGGTGGATTTATTTTGCCCACCTTTTAAATCAAATAAGCAATTTGTTTTCCATTTCTCAGAGACTCACTGGCAATAGCCTCTGAAATAAATTTATGTGGCTGTGAATTAACTCATTATAATTTAAAGGAGATGTTTAAAACATTTCACTGATAAAACTTGACCATCCTAGGTGGGAGTAATCATATCCCTCTTTACCAGTCACTTTGTTTATTAAATTGTTCATTTGTTCATTCATTCATTAAACATTTATATATAGGGTAAGGGTGATGGGAACATTAATTAGAAATGAATAAGTATCTTAAAAAACTTGTATAGTTTAGTGGGGATGAAAAGGTATACAGGAATTTCTATAATATATATGATGGAACATACAAGAACTATGGAGGCTGAGAAGAGGGAAGACTTCTAGTTTTCTCTTTGAAAAGTAGAGAGGGATCTTGCTTAAGAAGAAGGCATTTGCCTGAGCTCCTTGAAGAGCAGGTAAAAGAGCCTTTTGGCATTGTGTGGTGTGTATGGTTCACTACTGATAAGTACATGTCATTTTTCCTTAACTGGTCTGAACATCCTCTGACAGGTGTGGTAGGCCCTCAATACACCTTTTTCTGATCAAAACTTATTTGTTTGCTAACCTGACTGAGACACTGCCAAATAATTTATTTTTTCATAAATGCTGCTTTTTATCTCCATTTGAAATTCTTTCGTTTGCAGATTTAAACAGTTCACTGCTGAATTTTGTCTTACCTATTTAAAAAAGTCTCTTATCATTGGTGATAAGTTTGAGACAAGTAGTGAAAGTCATGAGCACTTGAAAATTCCTGTTAGTCCTGCATCATGTTTTTGTACTAAGCCCTTAGAATTAAGTAGTGAACGAAATAGACATGGTTTCTGCCCTGATGACATTTAATAGTGCCAGAGAAATAATTACACTGAGTCTGTTGTTGAACACATAGTTAGATACAGTACAGATTCATTAAATGCAAAAAAAGTTTCCATCAAAGTGACCTCTGAATTTATATTTTCCCTTCAGTATAAGCATTAAATTAAAAATGAATACCCAGTGTCTCTCCTTATTTTAGAATCTGGCTGTTCTATGTGTATGCCAATTAGAAAGGTCCTTAAATTCAGTAGTATTAAAAAAATTATTATTTTCTAAAAGAAATGGAATATGAGTATTTATTAAGCAACAACACTGTGTTGGATGTTATGTACAAAATATTGGTAGGAATGGCATTATCAAAACAAGGAGTGAATGAAAGAAATTCAAACCATTAACGGAAAAAAGAAAACCGTTAGCAATTCCTCATTTCACTTCCCTTTTTCCTTCCTACAAGATTCTTCTTGATGAACTATCTTCTACTAAACACTGGGCATCCATGCATGTTTCAGACCACAGTGGATTTCACTACCGCCAATTTTTATTAAAGTCTTTGATTAGCCGAACTGTGACTGACGGTTCTGTATTGGAGCAAAGTCCTTTGAGAAGTGAGTCAACTGTAGTTCTCCCAAAAGATGAAGAAGCAGTGGCTTCAGCAGAGGAATCAAGGATAAATCTTCCCCATCTTCTAGAAGAAGAAGTTGAATTCAGCACTGATCTTATTGATGCCTACCCAGGACATGAAACCCTTTGGTGTCATAGGTAAGAGAAGGAAGATGTATTTCCTGCATGAAATTCTGTGTGTCCTTATGAGAGTTACAGAAGGTCTTACATCTGACTCGAGCCTCCTTGGGTAAATATGGTAATTTGACTGTGGAACTTTGCCTGAGTGATTCAGAGGAGTTTGTATTACCATAGCCTCTTCACAGTCTTCATCAACGTGAGGTTCTTCGCACAGACCTTTGCCAATGGCTCAGGATGGTAGTGTTCATCCTTGACTGTGAAACAGAATAACATATGTTACTTCCAAACTAAAAAACGTTTCTGGACTCCCTCTTTGGAAATCCTGATACTTAGCGTTTCTGCGATAGAGTGCTGCCATCTGTCTTTTAAAAAAATAAAGAAAAAACCCTAACAGGTAAATTTGATGTACAGTCAAGGTTAAGACCAATGATTAGACCCTGTGAGCAGTTAAGCTTTGGCTTCCCAAATGTCTCAGTGGTAATGAATCTGCCTGCCAATGCAGGAGACGTGGGTTTGATCCCTGGGTCTGGAAGATCCCCCTGGAGAAGGAAATGGCAAACCCACTCTAGTATTCTTTCCTGGAGAATTCCATAACAGAGGAGCCTGGCGGGCTGCAGTCCATGGGGTCGCAAAGAGTCATACACGTCTGAGCACACACAGATGGTTAAGCTTTACTATTCTTCCCAACCATGATGGCCTGCAGATTAATTTACTTTGAGTATAATCTCTTGACATTTTTTTAATTTTTTAAGGTAAAATAAAATATATTTTATTAATATTTGTTTAATTTTACTATTCAGGATTATTATGAAGGTGTGAAAGAGGGTTAGCAACCTCATAACTTGAGTTTTAAGTACCTTTGACAGTACTTGTCATGTTGAAATGAAATCCAAGTATGAAAATCCCCTGATTGGTTTATTTTGGATTATCATTTAGTTGGAGGCATCTCTGGCATTAAATATACAGATTTTACTTCAAGTTACAAGATTATGCTTATAGACAAATGACTTGCCTGTGTTAGGCAAAAGGTAGGCATTTTAAATTGCGTATTTAAATTGTGTATTTTTTTAAGTTAAGTGAAATTTGTTCCCTTTTTCCAGACTAAATATATTTAGAAGATATATGAGAAGATGAAAGAAAATCTCCCCTCTTTGGCACCTTTGTAAATACAAAATTGTCTTTTTCTCTTAAAAACAAGACAGTCTTATTCCACATTTTTAGAAGAGGAGACAGATCTTAACTTGCATGTTTTGGTGTTAGATTTTTGTTGCTGTTTCATATTTAGACACATAATAGCCAGGCTCAGAGAATATTAAAAATTATATTTGTTTTTGGAAGATAGCTAGATTGTTAGAACAGAAACTTTCTTTTTCATAAGATTAATGGGAGTTTGGAATGGGGAGAAGAGACAGTTGGGAAGACCTATATATCATACAGACCAGTTTTCTACTGATTCAGTGCCCTTAAGCCGCTTCTCTGTCCTTTAAGATTTATCTATAAAATGAGTCTATTATATGCTCCTTTGTCTGTTCCAGAATAAGCTAGGAAAATGAATAGAATTCTCTTTTAAAGGCTTAGAATTGTTAATATAAATGATGAGATATAACTACCTAAAATCTATGTAGTTTACCTTATTTTGTACAAAGATGTGAACCCCACTTTCTCACAATTTTTGGAAATTAGGCATATGGATCTTCATTTTTAACAAATAACTACAGATGATTCTAAGAGCAGGAAAACTCTCCTTAGAGGAAGAACAGGAACTGTGTGTTTTAACGTACTTTTCTCAGAGCCCAGCACATTCTAGCACATGTGGATGTTTAATGAGACTATAGTGCTGGATTAGGGGGAAATTCAGAGGGTTTCTAAAATAGTCCAATTGCATCAGTTCTGTTCTTATTAAAGAAAGTATTGGATAGAGGCCATAGACTAATCTTCTAGAGGAGCTATTTAATCCTCTTGTTGCTGAAAATCACTTGTCTTTTAGGCTGTCAATGAGGTTAATTTTTGGTTTTGTTTTATATTTTAATTTATAGCAGAGATTGGGCAAAAACCCATTTCTAGTTTCATATTATAGTTACAGAGAGTAACGGCACCAAGTGATTGTTGTCATCTCAGTCAATGTTTTTTAAAAAACCTTTGGGGTAGTATTTCAACAAACCAGTAATCTGGACTTGCGAAGCTCTATCCAAATACCAGAGACTACATCTTAACTAATCTCCTTCCCCCAGATAGCTCTGGGTTACCGAAGGCAGTGAAACTGAATACTATGTGTTTTGAAATTGTCAACTTACTTTTCTGTTTTTTTCTGAAAAGCTTGACTTTGTGATGTGATTTTTCTTTTTCTGTTCTATTCCTCCTCCTCTTCTTTCACAGGCGGCATATTTTCTACCTTCAGCATCACTTAAATGGTAGGTTTCCTCACAGCATGATCCAGTTGCCACCTGCCGACAGTCCTGGGGGAACTTTGAGTGACTTGCACAGTATCCCAGCAGGCCCCCACACATCTCAGGCAATGGAGGTGGATGGACTTAGTGACTTTAGCAAACAAGGCTATTCCCAGGAAATCAAACGCCTGAAGCGGACTCCAGCTCCAGACTCCCTGGGCCTGGAAATGGAGCACAGGTTCATCGATCAAGTACTGTCCACCTGTCGGAACGTGGAACAAGCCAGGTTTGCTAATGCATACAGAAAATGGCTGGTTACATTGAGTCAATGAAAGAGGCGAATTAGTCCTGCAAAGTTCCCCTTTTTAGTGCAATATCGCTTTTCTTATTTACATAATTGCATGAACTGTTTGCTACTATTGGCTAACTATATATTCTTCATCTTTAGGCTAAAAGTCCCTAGTAAATCTTTCATTTTATTTATTTTGTTAAGAATTGGCATTCCTTTGGCGATAAAATAATTGTGTAGTTCCTTCTTGCTGAACAGTGAGTCTTAACTTTTTTCTTTTTAACTTCTCATCCTGTATATTCCTATCTTTGAGACTTTTCTCATTTGATTCTCCAGATGGGTTCACACACGCCTCAGCCCACCTCAGTGCAGTTGCTGTATAGGCTTTTTTTTTTTTTTTTTGGTTATCAAAAAGTTATGCTATAGTTTAGCTTAAGAAATACAATTTCAGAATTACTTATCTAATTGCTGTTTTGAGAATCAGATGGCCAGGTGGATGAATTTGTGAAAATACACACCATTTCTCTTACACTAGCATGTTATACTCAAGTCATAGGCCAACATAACCGGTCAGAAATATTGGAATTTATATGAACAACATAGTTCTAATATAATCCATTTTTAAACTAATTATTTTAAAAAACTAATTTTATGAGTTTATGCAATTGTAGTGGAAACTTATTTTTACTACTAGCTTTGATAAGTTTTTTTACCTCAATTAAAATCAATTTTTAAAAAACCTAGAATGCCATTTTTAGTTATTACTACTTATTTTTCTCCAAATTCACCATGCAATATGGCAGGCTTATGCATAGAAATATATCCATTAAAAACCTTACTTTGTAAAGTTTTTAAGTTACTGAGGATACACTGGATAAAGTATAAAATTTTTATGAAAGGAATATTAAGTTTACTGGCAAAAACCAGGGGGAAAGAATAGTTGTGAAGGTTAGTTCTTCAGTCTATTTTAAAAAATAAAACAATTTAGAAACTTTGATACTGAATTTATCAGGGATGAGGTACCAAAGTATCCATCTTATATTTTCAATAATAAGGGCTGCATTTTTCAGATAGGTGAGACAGATGTGGTGAAAGTACCAGGTAATATCTGATTTATTGATATGAAGCAATGCTTTGCATTTCTTCTTTCCACACACCTTTCTCTTTATTTTCCCCATCCATGGTTTTTTCCTTGTCTATTATATTTCATGGATGTAAACTAAAGATATTCTCCTGTTTCCAGTTAATTCCATACCCCATTAAACACACAAAATATGAATATAAATTGCCCCCTTAAAAGTTACCCTAATGATGCTGTCTATTATCCTATGTGTATAAAATGTAGTAGTGGCTGAAACAGTGTGACCACTATGCTTTGCCTGTTTTCCTCTTTTTATTCTAGGCTACCTGTAGGGTAAGAAAGACATGTAGGGAAAAGCAGACCTCTCCTATCTCACTGTTACGGAGACTCTAGACTTGAGTGAGGAACATTGCCTTAAGGGAAAGGAATAGGTCCTTTACTTGTGTATCATGATTTTGTTGAGTGGCAAACTATCAAGTGAGACTTAAGAATACCAAAAAGCTTGTCTAGGCTGGTACTTGTAGACAGAAGCTGCTCTTCTCTCCTAGGGCAAAAATTACCCTTTTATAACTTTTTGTAGTATTTAGGTGAGAAAATGATTGGCATTATGAGCATAATGTTATAACCTTTTATTTACAAAGCATATTTTGAATCAAATACCTCAAGGTCTACCTAGACCTCTGGATAAAGCTATTACTTTATGATTTTTAGCAGCTGCAGGGCTTGAGGGGCAAACTACACACAGATGCCATGGAGATCCAGTCAGTTCCACTAATGTATGTTGCTAGATTTTGGCCTCACTGTTAGTTTTCTTCCAAGGATCGTTTTAAGTATCCCGACTACTAGGGCTGCTTATGCTTTGATGTGCGAGTGTGAGAGTGTCAAGACATGAGTATAGACAATCTCCTGTGAAACGTCAACTAAATTTTATAATGTTGCACACTTTTTTATATCTTCCACAAAGTTTCTTGCCCTTCTTTGATGTTAACTGTCTTCTTGTGTTGTAAGTCTCTTAACTCACCCCTGCACAAAGCCATGCAGTCCTTTAATATATCTTGATCTCCTGTCTTCCTAATAGTTTTAAGTACCAAGTAAAAATACAAATATCCAAAGGATACAGTTTGTATCTGACCCTTGTGTGCTACTTTATTTCTAAAATTTGTAGTTTTCAAGTGTTCATTCACAGAAAAACATAATATTGCCCTGTATAGTTGTGTGCTTTACTCTGAGTGGTTGACATCCAACTCACTAGCTATAGTATGATAATATCTCTTGGACTGAATGAGTTCATGCAGTGGAAAGGATGTATCTATTTTTAGAGATTCATTAGTCTTCACTTACTTTTTGATAAATATGTCACTGTTAAAGGAAAAGATGATTTAGATTAACACACATTTCATCCAACTTTCACTGGAAGAATTGTAGACCATCCTGGGTCAAGAATACTACTGACAAGTGAAAAAAAAGCAATAAGATCTGTAAATATCTTACAGATACAATATCTCTACACTCACTCCTCCCCAATCTTTTTCTTTTTTAAGTGTACCTATTTTGGTAATTGTTCCCAGATTCTGTCTGCCTTGCATATTGTAAGGACTTATTAAATATTTATTAAATTTATGATTGATTAACTGAAGATAGGAAAATTAATCATGAAGGATGCGTAGAGTGAGTTATGATTGAGAAATTGATGGAATAGAGCACTGAATTGTCAATGAATGATGTATTCTGCCTTCATGATACTTAGGAGCAGCTATTGCATATAGAATACATTAATTTAGATTTTTTTCTTCATTAGACTACTTTGTTTATGCTTGTTAAATCCCAGCCAAGAAATGCATCTGTATGATATCAATTAACTGTACTTTAATGTATTTTAAAAATTCATAGAAGAATGAAGACCATTTTCATTAAGAACACTGCTTCCTATTCATTTATGATGTTGGAGGACAGATCTTGCCCATAGAGCCAGAGCCACTTTGGGGTATCTGAGGAAACTGATTTCAGAGATTTGTTGATCTGTATCTATGCATAAGTAGTCATTTTATGCTTCTCTTTTTCCCCTCCACAACTTGAACTTTTTTGGATATTTCTTAAACCTGTGAGTCATTTTTTTAAACATCAGGATTTGATACCTTTTAGTGTCCCCTTTTTCTTTTCTATGTTTTAGCATTTTATTACCTCTGGGCCCAGACTTTGAGTCATATTTCTTATTCCAGTCGTACAATTCTAATTTAAATTCAAGGCTTCATTATTTATCAGATTAAATATACAAGATGTCACACAAAGCCACTTAAGTCTTCAGATAAGGACTTGGTAACACAAGACATGCCAATAGAAGTCCTTGGATTTTTATGTGGCTTTTTTGTAGGAATGCATACCTACAAAATAGTGATACCCTATCATTTAGATATATTCAGGTCATGTGAACTTATGCTTGTCTAGGTATATACATGTATGTGTGTGTAAAACTTAATATTTTTGAGAACAAATTGTCAGTCTAGTATTTTTCTCTTAATAGCACAAGATGATACCTGACATGAGGGCTAAATATAAATTAGGAATGCTACCACTTGCTATGCAACAATCTAATTTCTACCTTAGTTCCCCTGTTACAGAAGATGCTAAAGATTTAGTTTATCAAAGGAAGTTAGAAAACACTTTTTTTTTTGCAAAAAGCTTTTGTAAGCTTAAGTATTTTCTTACTAGAAAATTACATTTTAAAATTTTTAAATATTTAAAGTATGCTAGAAAATTTGAACAGCATTGTAACAACTGAACTTTTTGTCTTCTAAATAAATTTCTCAAATAGAGCTATACAGACCCTAGCACTTTACATGCTGCCAGCCTCCTGTGCCTGGGTGTACTCTGTGACGTGCTCCTCTTCACTAGAGAGGTACGTGAAGGCGGAGGAAGGCTTAGGCAAGTTCAGTGTTACGACGGCAGTGAGCAGGAAAAGTCCACCCTGAGGATTCCACTCACCATCACATAGTGTCTTTTAAAAACTAACTGTGCATACTGTGTTTATTTGAGTGCCTTTCTTTTTGCTGAAGCAAGATTATGTTTAATTAACATTTAGGTAAAAATCAAAGGGTGAAAATTTTATTAAACTGTTGATTGATTAGTTATTTTATTTATTCCAGCTGCTAGGCATGGTCTAGTGGAATATTTTATCCTTAAGTGAGTTACTGATATGAGCAAGAAGGATGCTTTGGTTTTCATTTCACTAGTTAGCATTTTCAAGCACCCTACCAGGAAGAATTAGCTCTTTCTCAGTAACAGCTAACTTTTTCGGGATTGGAGGCATCACGTTTAAGAGGATGGCATATTCATAACTAAAGATCAGCCTGAAACCTGTGCAGCCCATATTTAAAGGGAAACAGTGGCTCTCTGTCCTAACAGAAATGCCATATGGTTGTCCTAAGTGAATCCTTTGCCTCATTTTAAGGACTTTTAAGAACTCCTTCCAAAATTCAGGCTTATGGATGATAGTTGAGAGGGGGAAAAAAAAGGAAGTTTAATCTTTTCAAATATTGAAGGAACAGAAGTAAATAATGAGATGAAATTTAAAACATGGCTTTTTATGTATTTGGGTGTGAAGAGGGGAAGGATCAGAATTCCATATTTCCAGATAGCAAATAACTGTTAATTATAATTTCATTAAAACATATAACTTAAGATTCCAAAGTGCTTTTGAGAGAACTGTTGAGTATGTATTCCTAAAGAACAGCAATGGGTCATGTTTATGGTAGAAACAGAAAACTATTGTGTCAGTTGTGGGTCGGGGGGTTAGGGACCTCAGGTTCCCAACTTTGACTTCTGTATTCTCACCAGGCCATGTTAACACTATAAAACCAAACTGTTTACTTAAAAAAAAGAAGAAAAAAAGAGCAGTAGCTTATTCTGTTGATGAAATCTTGTGCTTCCAAGCATATCAGCTATATATAGTTTGTGCTTTCTGC